GTGCGAAGGTCTTACCAACTCAACCACAGAGACCTGTGGTCGAGATACATATTTATATATTACAACATTATTATTATTCTTTTAACTAATATTGTATTTATATACTACTACACAGCAAAGTATTTTAATTTATATATAACATAGTCTGCATACGTATATACATATATAGGTATTTCATAGAATCTTGCCACTATTCTGATTATTTAATAACAATCCGAGATGTATTATTAAGATGGCATACAATATTGATCTTAAATGACTTTTTTATGACCATATTTTCTGATCATGTCACCACTTTTTTTTATCTTTCGTGGTGGTAACCCACACTTTTTTCATCATTTTTAATTATTTAAATAAACACATACTGTACCACAGTATACAATAAGAAATCCTGTCAAAAAATTAAATTAATTAAATTATGAGATTTTAAATATATTAAATACAATATATTATTTAAATTTCATGAAAGCAATATCATAGTGTGAGCAAAACATTATTACATATTCAATTATTATTTTTATTATTATTATTATCATTATTATATATATATATATGCTTATATACACATGCATATATACACATACATACTGTATATACATATACACATATATACATAGGCCTACATATACACCTACACACCCCAACAAACACACAATACATATATATATGTACATATACTTATATGTACAGTTTTTAGATAAATACCAGTTCAGGAGTACAGAGTATTTCCAAGTATGCCCAGGGCAGTGGTAGATTCAGGGACAGGGAGTGGGGGTGGGGATAAAGAAAAGAAGAGATGGGAGCATGGTACACCAAAACAAGCCAGATAAAATAGAAAATTTAAATGGTGAAGCTATTAGAAATTTTCACAAACAACTGATAAATTGATAACACTTTTTCATAATCTTGGTTTTTACAAATTCCACTCGTCCCTTGTCTGATGTCTCCAAGTGGCAAATCAACAATCAATGGTGGCTGTTTAATTTTGTTTTTTGTTTTTTGTTTTTTTTTAACACTCATGTTAAAAATAAAAATAAAAATAAAAATAAGATTGAAATTATTACAGTAAAATATTGTAAAGTTATTAAAGGTAGTAATTTTATGTAGTCGAAATTGATTTAATGTATTGTAATTGATGGATTGTTATGGCACTGGTTCATCAGCCACTGATTTGAAAACGTTTATTAATAATTAATATCAGAAATTATAATCATTAATTAAATATAATAGATTTATCGATTGAATACATGAAATAAAGGTGGGATGCTCCCACACAGACAATTAGGGGTTGCTACAGAAATTTGGCGACGGGAGCCTGAAATAAGGAGCCGACTAAGAGCCTCAGTCACCTCCCGGAATTAAAAGTTTTTCATGGATTATTTTTTTCCCAAATTGTATTTACCATGATATAAGTGTGGCAATCAATTTGGATAGGCAAAGTATTATTCTTCGTCCGACGACGTGACGCCGTCGTGGCGTCAAACGATATGGGTCCAGACGTCAGATCGGAGCAGGGAGTAATAGCTCCCTGCCCCCTGCCCTTCCACTGGCGCCACCACTGACATGAACCAAGTCTACAGAGTATTAATCTCCACTCATGATAGACCTTCTAGATTGTACTACAAAACTACAATCAGAATCGGATTCAAACTTGTTTTTAGCAGTTATATTCGCAAATCTTATTTATTAAGTTGACAACGTGAAATGGGTAATATTTCGGTATTTTCATTGCATAAATTACGCCTATTTATCTACAATTATTTATTATATTTCTTCTTTGAAACTAGTAGATATGTTCCGTATTTAATAAGTAGTCTTTCATTTTAGATATTTTCGGAATGTTTTTAACATAATGTTATGCTCCACGTATGAGCACAACATTGCGCATCTTATTGAGTTCATCAAATAGCACAAACATAATACTTTGTGTAAAATAAATGCTAATTATTTGTGATGTTTCATGTTTTGCAATCTCCAGCAGATTATAGTGATAGTACACTAATGGATAGGCCTATTGAATATTGCCAATGGATTGCCAACCTAGTTTCCAATGAGGGTGTGTTGCGACTTCTTTCATGTTTAGTTATATATTCAGTAAGCGAATTTAAACACGATATAGACATATGATTAAAATCAACCACGTTATCCACACCCACTATCATTATCCATACATATATTTCAATTCCACATGTTTACATACATTACATTCTTTAAATGAATTTCTATACTATAATTCATTCATGAAAATTGGATTTACTGGCTTCTCCTTTTCTACTATATTTTCAGACTGGTATCATACTACATGGTCACGTACATAAGTCTTATAGGCATATATGATTGTTAGGTAACACGGCTACAACTACTCTTAACATTATCAAAGGTACAGATGCCAATGGATCCAATACGTCCGTTTGACTTCAATGACCCATAAAACCATGCTCAAACAAACATGTAAGTATCGCTATTACGATGAACTTATCGAGTACGCATCAATGAATCAGAACTTTATTTATCGTTGTCTGAGTTGTCTGGCCTATGTCAAAGCAAATAGAGACGAATGTTAAGCCTGTTTTCCATTAGGCAAATCTGTTCGCGCGAATTGAAAGCGTATGTTCATCCACATGCGTTTTCACAAACTATTTCTACCTTTTGCGAAGCGAAAAAATGCTCATCCAATCAAGCTCAGGAAGCGACCTGACGTTTTCGCGCGAATAATTTGTCTGTTGGAAAACGACCTTTATGCGCTATACAGGTGCACAACCATTGACATATTATTAACACATTATTATTATATTATTATTGACATATTATTGACGTGACCAAATACCAACCAAAATTCTACATCATCTAAATTTTAACCATCTCAGTTTTATCTATTTATTTAATTTCTCATATCTTCCTTCCTTTTGTGCAAGTGTAACTGTGTGCGAAGTATCTTTTCCTGAATTGGGCTTTTTGTTTCTTAGCAAAGTAAAACTAGATATATTTTTTCCCCTATCATATTGACTTTGATTTTTATGTTTGCTTCTCGTTTACGCCTTACAGTGTTCGAATATAAATTATACATACATATACACCCA